TCCTTGCCTCCCTCAAGGTATCCAGCGCAGAACATGGCATCAGTGATCTGACCGGGGTAAGAGTTATCACAGTCCCTGTCGGACAGGATGGGGATGTTCAGGCACTGCAGCTTGTTGCCGTCAGCAGCTGTAATTTAGTAAAAAAGGGTTAGAATAGCAAAAATGACACAAAAATAAAGAGTAACTCCAGCTGTTAAAATGCGGGTGTTACTCACAGGAGCTCTGGGTGCTTCCCCAGCCGGAGACGGTGCACATGGTGCCAGCGGGGGCACAGCTGCTGGGCAGAGCCACGGCCTGAACGTACTGGTTGAGGGTGGCGGGCTTGCTCAGCTTGATCAGCATGATGTCATTGTTGATGTTGTAGGAGCTGTAGTTGGGGTGACGGATGACACGGGAGGAGCTGATGAACTGCTCGTTTCCCTCGGTGACCCTGATGTGGTGCTCTCCCATACGAACCTCCACACGGCTAAAAGCAAATGGAAATGACTGGATTAGTAACAAAATACAGATCATCAAAATATTAATGTGCATACCCCTCAGGTTAATAAATCAGTCCTATGACCCTGGAAAACACGAGGAATGTGCTTACGACTTGTAGCAGTGAGCAGCAGACACCACCCAGTTCTCGTTGACCAGGGAGCCTCCACAGAAGTGGTAGCCAGAGTTCAGAGACACCTGATGGGGCATGGAGTATGGAGTGCACTCCTTCCCTCCGACGATCTTGTCCTCCTCCGTGGCAACTGAGAAAACACACATCAGAATAAACTTAGTTTTTTTTTTTTATACTACTCTTTAAAAAAAGTAACAACAGACATCTATTTGAATGTAAAACAAGTGCACATTGTTCATTTGAGTACTGAGGTTTAACAAAGCTCCAAGAGCTGATTTCTAATTAAAAAAAATCCTTGGCTTTAGGCACACGCTCTGGTTATTCTGAACTAAGTTTTGGGATAAAGGCCCAAAGACTGTCAGCAGAGAGGAAGGCAGTCGGCTCGATAAGAGCTTCACACTCACAGGCAGCTCCGATGAGCAGAATGAAGACCAGAGACATCATGGTTGCTGTGTGATTCTGTCGATGATAGCCTTCACCTGCAGACCTGGTTTATATCCTCAGTCAGGAGTGCTGCCCCACTGTCCAGCCCTCCTCATTGGTCAGCAAGGAGCCAATCTCTGCTGCAGGAGGTTGGAGTTACATGTAGGTGATTCATTTTTCCAGAATTACAGAAAAAAACTTTTCAATGTATCTATTTCCCAGTAAATGTGTGGTTTTCGAACCAAAATAAATAATCTAGCTTTAGAACATAATGTTTTGCTACTCAGCAGTATATGGAGTTTGATTTAGCACCACTTTGTCTTATTCTTATACAAAAACATCACATTTTTAAATGCAAGCCTGCTTTGTAAACCTTTTTCACAATGAGTGATTCTTACGATATTTCTTATACATACCTCTTAAAGTTGGCTTTTGTTTCTCTGGTCAGATTTCATAGGTACACAGGTCCCCTCTATACTTAGATGTATGGACACTGTATCTCACAGCTGTGGGTTTTTCGGCATCTGTTACTTACCTTGAAAACTATTTTTTGTCTTTTTTTCAAATTCAATAAATAGTTAGAAAGCAGTGCTTGAGTAAGAACTAACCATATTTAGAGTAACATTTCTGCAACTTAAATGATATCGCTGTAAAAGTAGAAAAGTATTACCAGAATAATTTACTTAAAATAAGAAAAATAAATCATTCTTTCCATGAAGAACAGCCTATTGCAGAGTTGCATAAATCTCAAAATATACTCTTTTGAGACAAATAATTACTTTATTCTCAATATTAGTTCTTTCCGACTTCATATGAATCATAGCTGACCTTTGCACAACTCCAACCTGAATTTAGTTTTTCAGCCAAAATACCTTTCATTGTCGGTCTTCACCTTGAATATAAATAACGCATTGTAAGTAGTAAGTCATTTTACTTGTAACAAATGTAACTATTCCTGAAAAAAAAAAATGAAATAGTTTTCTTTGAACTAGTGGAGTGGAAGTATAAAATGTTTTTAGTTAAATGTTAGTTAAATACATGTAAGAAGCTGTAATATCTTGTATTCTATGCATACTAGACCAAGTAACCAAGTACTTATTAATATCAACTGCACATACTAGTATCATAAGGACAATACAGCATGAATAATTACTTAAAATCAGAGGAAAGGCAACAAAGACTTGAGGACGAAACCTAAAACTATTATTATAGAGATGCCTAATGAAAGAAATGTGTTAATTTGTTTTTTTCTAAGTCCACATTGGGCATACAAAGCACCCAAATGAAGAAGAAAATCAAATATACTTTTACTTTAACCACTGATGGTCTCTCTTTTATAAGGTTATATTGCAGCAATGTTCTGCTGCTCTAAGAGTTAAACATATTTATTAATACAAGCACAAGTGAAGTGATAATTATTAAGAAAAAATATTATATTTTAAATTGTATATGTTTTTAGATGTCTGTATCCTCAACATCAACTCATAAACAATGGATAAAACTGTATTGTTTTAATTGTGTTTGTTTGTATATTTACATCCTTGCTATAAGTCTAACTTTAAATTGCATTGACAAGAAAAATATGGGGTACCCCAGGGCTCCATGCTTGGCCCCATTTTATTTTCCCCGTACCTGCTCCCCCTGGGCGTTATCATTAAAAAATATGGCGTCTCATTTCATTTTTATGCAGATTACATTACATTGCATTGCATTTAGCTGACGCTTTTATCCAAAGCGACTTACAGTAAGTACATTCGACCAGGAAGATACAACCTTGAAGAAATGGTTGATGATTCCCAAATCGTATTACCCCTGAAAACGAAAGAATCCAGCTCTTTGCAATGCCTGTCTGTTTGTCTGCAGGACATCAGAGCCTGGATGGCCTTGAACCTTTTCCATTTTAATAAAAAAATGACATAAGTGATGATGTTTGGACCCAGTGGAGGCCCCAATGCCCCACTTGTGCTTGATTCTCTAATCCCATATATGAAACCCACTGTTACTAATCTGGGTGTACAGATTGATCCGGATTAGATTATTAAACTTGTTTACTGTAATGCCCTCTATGTTTGATTTAGCCAGGCTACCATCACCCGCTCACAGCTTGTTCAGAATGGTGCTACACGCCATCTTACGAGAACCAAATGCATGAGCACATTACACCTGTACTCGCATCTCTACACTGGGTACCGATAAAGTTTAGAATCAAATTAAAAATGGTATTGTTTGCCTACAAAGCTCTTAATGGTTAGGCCCCACCTTACCTGGCAGAACTTCCACAATCCTATATATCCTCAAGGTCACTGAGGTCTACTGAGATACTTCTCCTTGTGGTTGGAGGTCGAGGTTGAACCAGCGGGGGGACAGGGTTTTTGCTGTAGCAGCTCCCAGGCTGTGGTACGATTTGACCCCCAATCAGACCTGCTCCCCCTTTTTTAGATCTCGCTTAACGACAGATGTAACATGACATACATTAAGGAATGTGATATTTCAATTTATATGCGGGGAAATGTGAGTCCCGCTGAGAGAGAATTATTATACTCGCAATGTGAACTGTTGCAATCATGTTAATAACCCACGGCATGGCATGGCAATAAAGCACGAAAATTGAAAAAATGCAGTCCAATTTGCAACGATAGTGGGTCCGATAAACTATACTTAAGCATTTGAGATCTTATCGACAATCTTATCGACAACACCTGCCACAAGTAATCCTGTGGGATGGATTGGACCAGTTGGTGGTCTGGTATTGGCCCCTGTGACGTTTTTTTCACACTCCAGCTTTATAATTCATTCTTGGAAATTATTCCAAATTGTTAATTTGTCATATTACTAATGGATCCAGATTATGTTGAGCTGTTGGAATGAATTTGCTTGTTTGGATCCCTTAGTTGTGTTCCCCGGCCAGTTGCTGAACATCTAGATCTAATAATAAGGTATACTGGACAAATATGTATTGTTGTTGATAAATAAATCAATTTAGGAGAGTTAAACCTTTGTATCTATATTTATATACAAGATAAGAAGTAATTACCTTGTTTTCACTGTATCCCAAAAATCCCAGTAAACATTACACTACTCTGAAGAAGATATGATGTACACAAACACAAACAACAAGCTGAGGAAAACATGATTTAGAAGTCAATGTATAGTATTTTATTTACTCAGATTGCACATTATTCAAAACTCATGGTGGAGTTATGATGAAAGATGGAATGATGGAAGAAAGGCAGCAGAGTAAAATGGTCGCAGGATCAGACTTAATAGCTGGCCATGGTGGTCTCCAGCCAATCGTTGAAGAGGCAGACCTGTGAATAGAGAAACAATGAGGTTTGTTAGGAAGATTAAACTTTGAATTCCAAAATTAAAATATAAGTTTATTTTGCAGATAGATAATCTATTGTAGAAATCTTTTGGGTTTACCTTGGCGTAGACACCGGGGTTGTCCTTCTGAGCACATCCGTAGCCCCAGGACACAACACCCTGCAGCTCACCGTTGCACACGACGGGTCCACCAGAGTCTCCCTGAGAGAGAATTCATTTGTGAAGAAATGAAATAATATTCTGGATTTGGTGCACTGGAATATGAAAAGTAGTGTTTTTGTTACACACCTGGCAAGAGTCCTTGCCTCCCTCAAGGTATCCAGCGCAGAACATGGCATCAGTGATCATGCCGGGGTAAGAGTTATCACAGTCCCTGTTGGACAGGATGGGGATGTTCAGGCACTGCAGCTTGTTCTTGTCAGCGGCTGTAACACATCAAACAAAGAGGGTGGAAAAGGGTTAGAATAGCACAAATGAAAATGAAAACATAGTGTAACTCCAGCTGTTAAAATGTAGGTCTTTCTCACAGGAGCTCTGGGTGCTTCCCCAGCCGGAGACGGTGCACATGGTGCCAGCGGGGGCACAGCTTCTGGGCAGAGCCACAGGCTTCACGTACTGGTTGAGGGTAGCGTTGCTCAGCTTGATCAGCATGATGTCATTGTTGATGTTGTAGGAGCTGTAGTTGGGGTGACGGATGACACGGGAGGAGCTGATGTACTGCTCGTTTCCCTCCTTGACTCTAAGGTTGTGCTCTCCCAACTGAACCTCCACACGGCTGGGGAGGAAAGAGCGGTTGAGTGGCAATTAAGTTTCATAATGCCTGTTAAAAGTAGTCAAAATCTTGTCTTCGTAATATGAGATGTGACTTACGTCTTGTAGCAGTGAGCGGCAGACACCACCCAGTCCGCGTTGACCAGGGAGCCTCCACAGAAGTGGTAGCCAGAGTTCAGAGACACCTGATGGGCCTGGGAGTAGGGAGTGCACTCCTTCCCTCCGACGATCTTGTCCTCCTCCGTCGCAACTGATAAAACACACAGAAGACACAATAATTAGAAAAAAGTGACTTTTATTTTAATTAAATGATTAAAACACAGCAGGGAAATATATGCTTACAGGCAGCTCCGATGAGCAGAACGAATACAAGAGACCTCATGGTTGCTGAGTGATTCTGTCGATGATAGCCTTCACCTGCAGACCTGGTTTATATGCTCATCTTTCCATCCTGTATACGCCCCAAAGGTTGTTTGTGACCAATCAGGGCTCTGGGAAAAGTAACTCCAGGTATTGTGGTCGATATACTGTCTGCCAGGAAATTGTATTATTTCTACAACTTTTACATTCGCTGGTGTGCAGATGGTTTGGTTCACAACCACAGTTGTTGGATTTGGCTTTCACCACGTGTCTTTAGATAGATTGACCCTAACACAATGTTGATAAAGTGAAGAGACAAGATGCAAACACAAAAAAAATGTAATCACTCGATCACAATTACTATCAGAAAATATAATAAAGGAAACTTAACAGTGATAAACTCAAAAAAATGCATTTTACTTGCATTATAAAAGATGGTAGGGTCAAAAGTGTTATTTAACAATTATTACATGGAAGTATAAAAGACCATTTAATAATGAAGAATTCTGCACAATAACACAGTCAATTGTATGTTGAATTCTGTGCAAATCTGCTGCTGGTGAAGCTTGAGTCAACCTGAGTTACATTTGGCTGCTTTGATAACAGCAGAGCAGCTTCAATTTCACATGATAAATATGCATGAGTGACATGAAGAAGATTAACAAGAACAGGTGCAGTCTGAAGATTCTAAATCCATGCTGTGTATGGGAGGATTTGGAAACTAGAGTGTGTTGTTGTTGAACGGTGGCATTTGTGATAGTATGCTCAGTTTTGAAGATGTGCTTGAATGGCAGCGTTTCAGTTGTACGTGTCACTGCAGAATATAAGTGTTTGACAGATATTGGCTTATACAGTGGCCGATTCAGGGACCAGGTCAGCTGATACACAAAAAGGATTTGCATTGACTGTTAAATGTAAAAAGATAATCAATAATTCATACAAGAATTTGTTATTTTTCTGCGCTGAACATGAAAAAGTAATGGCTGTAAAACGATTAATTTCATTATTAACTGTACACTCATTATGTGCCAGTTTTTTTGTTAAGCCTCATGCACTCTTGATGATATCCTGACTCACTGCTACATTACTGATATGCGAGTCGGCCTTGAGCAAAGGCTCTCTGTGAATAATCCAGCTGTTACAGCTATTTTAGGGTACTTTTTTTTCAGTCAAAGTTATTTAAGGTCAGTCACCTGAAATGAACCACCTACACCTGGCGGCCAGTGTATCAACTTTTATTTTCATTGGCAACTATTGGACCAATCAGGCAGCTCGGAAGAGATATAAAATATGAATGCAAGTGTACTGACTGGATGAAACTTTGCAGCCATGAAGTCCCTGGTCTTTGTTCTGCTCATTGGAGCTGCTTGTGAGTAGGTTGTTTTTAATGCATCATGGACTTTTATATATTTACAGTACAGCAGTATTCATTTAGCGTTTTGGCTCTCTTATTGTTGTCTTAATTGTTTTTAGTTGCTACGGAAGATGATAAAATCGTCGGTGGTTATGAGTGCACGCCTCACTCCCAGCCCCATCAGGTGTCTCTGAATATTGGGTACCACTTCTGTGGAGGCTCCCTGGTCAACGAGAACTGGGTGGTGTCTGCTGCTCACTGCTAAAAATCGTAAGCACATGTTTAAAGCCATTACTATTCATCTGATGCTTTAATAAACAAACAAGCCCCCATTAATCACCAACTTCTCTCTCAGTCGCATTGAGGTGCGTATGGGAGAGCATCACATCAGAGTCAGAGAGGGAAACGAGCAGTTCATCAGCTCCCTCAGTGTCATCACACACCCCTACTATGATCGCTACAGCCTCATGAATGACATCATGCTGATCAAGCTGAGCAAGCCCGCCACCCTCAACCAGTACGTGCAGCCTGTGGCTCTGCCCAGCAGCTGTGCCCCCCGCTGGCACCATGTGCACCGTCTCCGGCTGGGGAAACCACAATGAGCTCCAGTGAGTAGAAACATTTCAGACAAGCTTAGATTTTTTAAACTGTCATTTTATTTAATTTTTTTTTTTTTTAATTGATTTATTTGCTATTATTTAATTACACAATGGATATCAAAAAAGTTTACAAAAGAAAAAGTATTGACAACAAACATGCATAATACTTGCACATGTTGAAGAAATAATCTAAAAAAAAACATCACTTGGGTTATATGAGGCTGTGGCTCAGTGGATAGTGTGCTGGACTTCAGAGGATAGCAAGTACAAGTCCCACTGGAGTCAGCATGTCGTTGTGTCCCTGGGCAAGACACGTCACCCCAAATTGCTCCTGTGGGGATTGTCCACTGTACTGAATGAAAGTCGCTTTGGATAAAAGTGTCTAACAAATGACAAATGACATGGAAAGGAGACAAGAAGAGCGGTTCGGTTTTTGTAGGGAAAGTCTAGCTAGGCTGGGGTAGAAATAAATCAGCTCTGGATGTAGCCTACTGCAGGAAAATATAATTTAGTCCTTCAGGGTTAAAGAGAGCTGTTCCAGGTTTATATGATCAAAAGATTGAACCAATGGTTGATTGATAATATTGTTCTTCTATTAAAATGGTTTTCTTTGCTACAGTCTGACACGGTCTAAAAAAACGTAATCTACAACAAGCCCCTGCACCCCTCTCTGTTGTTGCATTGCTGCAGCTGCTGACGGCAACAGGCTGCAGTGTGTTGCCGTCCCCATCCTCTCTTATGAAGACTGTGATAACTCCTACCCCGGCATGACCGACAACACCATGTTCTGTGCCGGATACCTGGAGGGAGGCAAGGACTCCTGCCAGGTGTGTATCTCTGATTGACTTTATACTGCTTTATTTTCTAATTGGACTACATTTTTTTAACTCTCTAAAATGACATCTCTCAGGGTGACTCTGGTGGTCCTGTGGTGTGTGACGGTGAGCTGCAGGGTGTTGTGTCCTGGGGCTACGGGTGTGCTGAGAAGAACCGCCCTGGTGTCTACTCCAATGCAGAGTCCTGCATCGGGTCGGGTATCCGCGGGTACCCGACGGGTGACCCGCAAA